TCTCTTCTGTTGAATATGCAGTGTTGCTGTGGTTCAATCTTTCCATTTAAATCCTGGGAGTTAACATTCTACGTTGTTAATTGATATTTCTTGTCCCTAGCATTAAATTGTTCATTTTCTTGGTTGCTTTTTGTTCTCTTATTTCTGTATGTATCTTTAGTCTTACTGGTCGAGCACTCCTTTCAGAATTTCTTGAAGAGTGGGTCTGCTACAGGCAAATTCTTTCAAATCTTGTTTATCTGAAAATGTTTTTATTTTTTCTTTCCATATGAAAGATAATCTTGCCGGGTATAGTGTTCTTGGTTGAAACTGTTTTTCACTTAACACTTTGAATGTATTTTCCCATTCTTTCATTGCTCGCATTGTTTCAGATGAGAGGTCTGAGGTTAGCCTGATAGGATAACCTTTATAAGTAACCTGACATTTCTCTCTTGCCAATTTTAGTAACTTGTCTGTGTAGATTTGGATAGTCTGGCTATGATGTGCCTTGGAGAAGATCTTCTTGGGTTGATTCTATTAGGAGGTCCTTCGTATATCTTGGGTCTGGATATTTGAATGCCTCTTTAGATTTGGAAAGTTTTCTTCCAAGATTTCCTGAATAGATTATCATGCCTTTATTAGTTTTTTTGGGGGGAGAGGTTTTCACTATAGGGCGCGTGCGCTTGCCAGACAGACAGAGAGAGACATAGAGATAGAAAGCGAGAAATCACCCCCCAGGGGGGATGGTCATGCCGCAATCCCTTCTCCATTCTCCTCTCGGAATCTTGGGCATGCACACACACGTGTCCGGCGTGAGTTTTAAGCCACCGTGTCTAGGACGCGAACTGTGGTCCACTACATGGGAGTCCAGCGACATAGCCATTATGCTAACTGCTGGTTCCCCTGAATAGATTATCATTGCCTTTATTAGTTTCCTCACCTTCTGGGATACCAATTATCTGAATGTTTGGGTGCTTAATGACTAGCTCACTTATTCTAGATAAGGGATCAATATGCTCAGTCTTCCAGACCAAGTCCAGCTTGTCTCCTGTTTTTGTATATCAAGTTTTATTAAAACACAGCCATATCCATCATTCATTTGTGCATTTACAAAAATCTACAATGGCAGAGTAGTTACAATGGAAGCTGGCCTGCAAAGCCTAAAATATTTACTAGCTTGTCCTTTGAGGAAACAGATTATCTACCCTTGTTTTAGACAATGCTTCCATTAACCTTTTAGATCTGCAATTTCGGCAGCTACATCACACTCTTAATTCATATTCAGCTCACAGTCCAGTAAAACCACAAAGTAGTTCACATGTGATGCTATCAAGTAAATAATAACCAGAAAATCTAAGGGATTTTTGCCTCTCTGATACCTTATAAAGGTTGTTAGAGGAGGTTGGATTTCATCTGGTCTTTGAAAGAGAGTGTATGTGGTAATCTGCTCTGAAATGATAATTTAGGAATATCATATAGTTGAGGCAGTGATTTCAAAAGCACGTTTTATCAAAAACTAGTTTCTTGAGATGATTTTCAGTAAAAGGATATTAAATAAGTTTGGAAAAATACTCCCTTTCTTGGGCATTTATAATATATGTCATATCTTGTGTGTGTATGTGTTTGTGTGTGCCTATGCACGTGCCGATGTGCATATAGAGAGTACCTATTAACTAACATTTCTTAATGTTCTAGGGGACATAATAGGAGATGCTTGGTTAAGGGAATGATTTAAAATATAAGGAATGGCAATTATTAGTAGAGGCTAGAAAGTCTCTATTAAGGTATGCTTTAGAAATTAATATTGCTCATGTTTTGGTAATGTTTAAGATGATGAGGGAATTACTATTCTTTATAGCTACTTTTCTTAGATCAATTGAGATATCAAAAGTGGCAGCCAAAAAAAGTGTTTACCAGTTCCTTTAAATTCTGAGCTTTGTATGATTTAAAAGCTTATTCACATGTTTTTGACTATTTGATGAAGAGATTATGATGGAAAATGGAAATATGGGAGTGTTAGGAACAGTTAAGAATTTTTGAACCAAAAAGAATTGAGCTAAAACATTTTCTAATGTTAGGATAATGAACGTGGAAAATTTTATTTCCGTTAAAGAGTTCAGTTTATACCTAGCTTTCCCAGGAATATATCGGTGAAAGAAGGAGTATCTATGATAAGATTTGTTCTTCCTAGCCATTATAGAAGTGGCATGGTTCTGTGTAAGTTATTTTTTTTCCCTCCTTACCCTTCTGTTTTCTCTGTAGAGTAAAAGTATTTAGTTATTAAAATACCTTAGTTTGGAATGTACTAAATTAAACATATCTTTTAGTAAACTTTCTTTGAATGATCAAAAGGTCTTGCAAATGTCCATTAGAAAAGTTGATGTAAAACCAAGAGAATGCCATTGGACCAACAAGTGGTAGAATACCGACAATATCTAGCTATCTACCCTTAGTCCTTTCATATTAACGTTTGATCTTCTCTGTTGTCTAAATATATATATATGTGTATATATACATTTTTTTAAAAAATGAGTTTAAATTGTCTTTTCTCCACAGAACCAAGTGACGGATACTAATAGAAAACTACAACATGAAGGAAAGGAAGTAAGGCCAGTTTACTTTTTGAAATAATCTTTTTGCTTCATGTCGTTCTCTTTTGGTCACTTGTAGTCTTCATTTAATAGCTTTCAAACCTATAAGCAGTAGGTTGGTTGCTTTTCCTAAATGTTTATCTGAATTAAAGTAAGGTAGCCACTGGGAAGCCTATTGGAGATGCAGCCTTCTCTAGTTGTGTTTGTAAATCACTGGGTAGTCATAGTATGGCCAGTGCTGTTCACTATTCCTGGAATGTTCTTTCCCCAATATTCACCTACTTAAACTCTTAACTCAAATGCAACCTTGTTACAAACGAGAGTTTTCCAAACCACTTATGTGAAGTCACACCTCATTCCTTGCATTCTTTCATTTTTTAAAATGTTATACATTTATTTTTAGAGAGATTTTTGCTAAAGGGTGCGTGTGTTGCTGAAGAAAGGGGGTGGGAGTGGGGTTGGGGCGGAGAGAGAGAGAGAGAGAGATCACCCCCCTCACCCCTGGGGGGAGATGGCCACATCACAATCCGTTCTCCTCTATTCTCCTAGTATTTGGGCACACATGCATATATGTGCCTGACTTCAGTTTTAAGCCACTGGGTCCAGGACTTGAACTATAGTCATCCATGTGGGAGTCCAGTGCATTAACCACTATGCCACCTGCTTGCCCCCATCCCCTGCATTCATTTTTTACCTTTTCTCACTTTATTTTTTCCATTGCACCAGTCATGCTCTGATACTATTTATCCTACTTAGTTGTTTTTATTTGTCTCCCTCCATTGCAAATTTAGCTCCATGAGGTCATTTTTGTTTGTTTTATTAAATGTTGTTCCCTCCACCTGCCTAAATAGTGACTGTCACAAAGTGGGTACTAGATAATTACTTGTTTAAAAAAATTAGTCTTCGATTCTATTAATTGATATACTCACAGTTTAAACCTTCACAGTTGCAGTATTATTTTATTTCCACTTACTTCATCCTTGGTGGCAGACTGATGACAAAGTCAGCACAGGTGGTGTCAAACAGATGATTTCTTAAAGTTTGCATAGTAACTGGGAAGGCTAGGATGCAAACCCAGTGTTCTACTTGTAGTTAGTTACCATTCTCTATATTAAGCCTTTTGTTTCACTTAAGATTCATTTAGTGTTTAATTTTAATGATGTTTAAGATTAATGTTTGAGGGACCAGCAGCTGGCCTAATGGCTATGTTGCTGGACTCCCATGTAGTTGACCGCGGTTTGAGTCCCAGGCCTGGTGGCTTAAACTCATGCCAGGCACGTGTGCATGCATGCCCAAGATCCCGAGAGGAGAGTGGAAGAGAAGGGATTGCAGCGTGGCCATCTCCCCGGGGGGTGATTTCTCGCTTTCCGTCCCTCTGTCTCCCTCTGTCTTTCTGGTGAGCACATGTGCCCTATAGCAAAAACCTCTCCAGAAAAAAAAGATTAACGTTTGATTATTTTATCAGTGGTGTAACCGGAACCATTCTCTTTTTTTTTTTTTTTTTGCATGGTATCTAAGCAGGTGAAGCTTTTAGGGATGGATATGAGGTGAATGCTGCAAGTGGATATGTAGATTATTACTTTTTAAAAGTTTGTCTCATGTATTCTCAATTCTCCAGAGAGTGCAATTTTTCCAGCTATATTGTGGGATGACTTCAGACAGAAGCCTTTCAAACAGGAGCTGTGGGAAGAAAAATGAGTTACTCTTCACTAAACTGGAACTCTTAGAAAAGCCACAGTTTCTAAGTGTGTGGTTTATTTGTTGAAATTGAGATTTAGTGCAATATCATTTTCAGGACTCATTTGAAGCCATAGTGGAAGGATTATTTTTCTTCAGGAGCCTAGCACTGATGAAAGAAATATAGATCTGTTCAAGTGATTGATGAAACCATAAATCATAAAGAGTCTGAACAGGATTTAGAGAAAATATGCAAAAGTTGTTCTTTTCTCCTGGATAGACCCCATACTTTAAGATTTCATTTTACCTAGCCTTTTCCTAATATAGTATGTATCTTGGGCAGAAAGTAGGAAACTGTGAAGGAGTGTTTTACTATTCAGAAAGGCAGTTCCTTAGTCCACTTGGCAGGTCTTACTATGAAACTGTCTAGGATTTTCTGATGAATTGAACACAGTGTGGAAAAATGTGACTGAGAGCTTTTTATTTACAACTGTTGGCATAATTCAGTTTTTTTTCCCCCCTTTTACCAAGCTGGTAATAGCAATGGAAGAGCTGAAGCAGTGTCGACTACAACAGAGAAATATTTCTGCCACTGTTGATAAATTAATGCTGTGTCTTCCAGGTGAGGAACTTGTAATGGAAGTAGGATTCTTGATGCAATTCTTTTAGCTTTAATTAGTCTTTCACTTCCTCTAAATAATGCTTCTGTGCTCTCTTCTCTCTTTCAAGTCCTAGAGATGTACAGCAAACTGAGGGACCAGATGAAAACTAAAAGGTAATTTTTTTATTGAACTATTTCTAATATCTAAAATTTATGCTATTTAGAGTACTATAAAAATCCACATTTAGCATAAATTTTCAAAATAATTAAGTCTGAACATCTTCTCTAGCTTTTTGTATGTCTATTGTTTTATCCTAGTTTATTTATGCATACTAGTGATATGCTGATAAGATTTATGTATTATGTTTAATGAGCAAAATAATGCTCCTAGTCTGGTTTTTAGATGATCCAGTCTTTTGGGAAAAGCATATAATGGTTTTAGTGTTAGCTGGTTTGAGAAACATGCTTTGGTTAGTATTATCAAAGAAAAAAAGTCGTTGGTTTGATTGTAGTTTATTAGAGTTCTTCAGAGAAACAGAACCAATAGCTTGTGTTTGAGTGTCATTTCTCTCTCTCCGTTTATCTATCAAGACAAAAGTGTTTATTTTGAGAAGTTGGCTCATGTGATTGTGAAGGTTAGCAAGTCCAAATCTACAAGATAGGCCTGAATACTAGGGAAGATGTAATTTTATAGCTTGAGTACCTTTTAATTGGGTGAGATCAGCCTTTTTTTCTCTGAAGATCTTCAGTTGTGACTGAATGACGTTCACTCACATTATGGAGGGTGATTTTCTTTACTCATAGTTTACTAGTTTAAGTGTTAATCTTGTCTAATAGATATCCTTACAGAAATACCTAGAATAATGTTTGACCAAATATTTGCCTATTTAGGCCAGTAGGTGGAATGTTAGTTAAGGCACTGGATTCCCACATGGCTGACCATGGTTTGAGTCCTGGACCTGGTGGCTTGCTTTCTCACATTCCCTTTCTCTTTCTCTCTCTCTTTCTCTGTGTGTGTGTCTCTCCCTGGCGAGCATATGTGCCCGATAGAAAATTAAATAATCAGGACCAGCAGATGGTGTAATGGTTACATTGCTGAACTCCTATGTAGTTGACTGTGGTTCAAGTCCCAGATCTGAGTTTAAAACTCATGCTAGGCTTGTGTGCATGTGTGCCCAAGATCCCAAGAGGAGAATTGAGGAGAAGAGTTTGCAGTGTGGCTATCCCCAATGGGGGGTGATTTTTCCCATTCTGTATCTCTGTCTCTTTCTGTCTCCCTGGAAAGCACATGTACCCTATAGCAAAAATCTCTCTCTCTAAAAAAAAGAAAATTAATAATAATAAATAAGATAATTTGTCTATTGTGGCCCAGTCGAATAGATGCATAAAATTAAGCATTAAAAGGGGTAAGGTCAAGGTTAAATTCAGAGGATTTGTTTCCTATGTATTGTTTTCTTCTAGTTTTATTTCAGAGGAAACTTTTATAGCGACTCTTTGTCTCTTCTTCCCAAACTAGAGTAAGCATCACTTTCTTTGCCATGCGGTACCCTGCAGGATAATGGGGGTATGTAAAGCTATAAGATAAATTTGGTACAGTTTCTTGGAATGTTAATTTTACTTTGGTTCTAGGAGAAAAGTATGCAATTAAAATGTATTTGCTATTGAAATAAATGTTGTGGATAAAATTTCCAAGTTCTCAGGAATTTTGAATCTAAAGCATCAGGCATCAAAATGTTTTGTTTCTTGGGATTGTTTCCAGATTCCCTTCTTCTGTTTAGGAGGACATGTTCACATAAAAGAACACAGGTAGAACACTATGAGAAGTTCTGTTTAATGAAATAGAAAAGCAGTATTATTTCTCTAATAATTTTTTAGTAAATTTCTAAAATTACATATTATTTATATGTTATAAATACATATGACATATAAAAATATCAGGTTGTTGGAAAGGTCATGATGCTTTTTTTCATAGAAAAACAGAAAAATACCTTATATCTTTTTTGATGACCATGTCTGTGTCTATATCTATGTACCTCTATATATAATCTCTCTCTCTCTATAGATGACTCTCTCTCTCTCTATATATATATATAAAATATACATATATATATAAATTATATCTCCATATATTTATCTATCTATCAATAGATAGATAAATTTTATCTATAATTTTTAAGTAGGTCTTTTTTAATGCATTTTTTTAATTTCAAGAAAAACAGTTTTAGTTTTAATAGATCAAAATCAAAAAATGTTAAGAGAAATTTGCTTAAGATTTACAGCCAGATAAAAGGTTAGGATTCAGTTGAAGTAGTAGGTAGATGAACCTATCTACAGTTGAAGAGAAGTCAAAAATCCTTAAATCTGGAAATCAAAGCATAGAAGAAAATCAATAGTATTTTAATTTAAAGTAAAAAAATTCTATTTCACTAGTTCAGTCTCATGTAATTAATCTCTCTTCTATTGAATTTACAGTGTTACTGTGGTCTGATCTTCCCATTTAAACTATAGAAGTTAACATTCAGCTCTGGACTTGTCCCTACCACTAGACTGGTCATTTTCTTGGTGGTTTTTGTATTCTTATTTCTGTGTCCAACTTTAGTTTTCCTTGTATAGCACTCCTTTCAGCACTTCTTGGAGTGCTGGTCTGGTGTTGGTAAATTCTTTCAGGTTTTGTTT